TTAATATTATTTATTATAAATATATTATTTTTAATAAAATGACTTGGATACTCACCCCTATATTGTCTTTTATTTATTACACTATTTAGTACTTTCCATGTTCCTTGTATATTTTGTCTATGTTCCATCAATAATTTTGTATAGTATTCTTTTTTACAGTTTCTAATTATATTTACCTTTTTTTTTCTTATATTCTTTATATTTATTTTCAGCATCTGTTCTAAATTTCAAACATTTTCGATATTTTTCTTTTTGCATGCTTTTATGATACCTTTAGTAAACCAAGGTTTCTGTATCTTATTATTGACTTTAACTGCTTTAAGTGGACAGCGTTTATCATATATTTTTAATATTTTTTTCAGGAAATTATCATAGGCCTCAATTGGGTTTTCATAATTCTATCCCAATTTTGCCTGCTCAATTTCTCTTTAAATACTTCTATTGTTTCTGGTGTTCTGTGTCTCACAATTCTGGATTCATATGTTGGCCTGGAGTGTACTTTAAATACATTTTGGTAAACTGCAAAAACAGGTAGATGGTCACTAATATCGGTTATTAAAAGCCCTACGTCATTAGTGAAAATATTATCTATTAATGTTGCTGTTGCTGTTGTTATCCTACTTGGTTTTACTATAACTGGAAATAATGTACAGTTATAGAAGGTGTTAATAAAATCTGTGGTTCTTTTATGTTCTCCAGGATTAAGCAGGTTAACATTAAAGTCCCCACAGACAATAGGTCCTGTTTCCACTTTGCCTTTGATATGAATTCATTAAAGGTTTCAAGTGGTGAACCAGGAGTCCTATACATACAACTGACAATTACATTTTTTCATTTTTCAAGATGAACTTAAACAGTCACACATTCTAAAACATTATCAATTGTTGACATATTATTTACTAGACCACATTGTAAATCAGAATCCACATAAATAGCAACTCCACCTCCTTTTTTGTCTTTCCTATTCATTACAAACAGTTCATATCCATCTAGCTCTACATCTAATACCTTATTATCTAGCCATGTTTCAGAAACAGCAACTACACTAAACTTTGGGAATATTTTTAAATAATCTTTCATTTTCTAAAATTTTTTCCAGAGACTTCTACTATTGAAATGTATTACAGATAAAGAATGTTTCATATTTACTTTACTATTAAATTGTTCTTCTGTATACTAATTGCTATTTGGCTCATTATAAAAATAGGTTTCTGGATCAATTTCTCTCTCAATATCATACTTATTGGGTCTAATAAAATTAAAATTCCTATAGTTATACAAATTAAATAATTCACTAGATGTGTCAGACAAGTTACTATCTATGTCATCATCTTTGTCTGTATAACTCATTACTGATATTTAAATTTCAATTTAATCCTCCCACTTCCCGACAAAATAAATAAAAGAAAAAAATTAATACAATAACAAAAAAGTAAATAAACATGCTAACTAGTTCAACTGACTATATGTTGATGATAGATTCTTAGTCTTTAGTTCATTAAACAGTATTTTTAACGAGAATCTTCATATATCCAAGTGGCAGTCTTTATGTCAGCACAATCCATGTTCTTATTAGAGGAAATCAACTTAACAATATTTAAAGCAGTCTTAGTATAACAAGATCCATATAACAATGTCCCCATACTATTCATTTGAACTTTTCCAGTTCGATGATTTCCCCTACCATGATCACTCTTGCTTCTTCTGGCAATCCATTTCATCATGTCATCACATGACCATTTCTAGTCCATGTTGCTTGTATCTTGTTCTGTCTCTGTAAGCTCTGCGTCTGTCTAGCAATATCTGCGTTCTTTTTGGTAAGGTGTTCATTAATGTACACCCCACTCCCTTTTAGCTTCCGAGCCTGGTGCAGCAGTTTGACTTTGCTTCTTCTGCTCACAAAACGAACAGTAATTGCTGGTTTGGCAGTGCAGTTCTTTCTGGGAAGTATGTAACAGGCAGATATATCCTCCGTTTTAACGTAAATGTTCTTACAAGATATGTTACAACCTGCCTCTCGAGCGTTTGTAGCTCCTCCGCTGGTGTGTTCTCGCCCTCATTCATTTCGCCGGTGCCAGTAGCTCTCGCATAAGTTTGATGTTTCGTTTCCAATCCATTTATGATTACATCCTCCGACCGCATGTATTGCTCCAAGTCATCGACTCTTCTCTCCAGTGCGCAAATAACCTTATCTTTCTCTTTCAGAATTTCTTTCAGTTCCTTTACTTCAGTCCGCAAGCTTACTATTTGAGCTTGTTGTTCACCCACATTGGAGAGCTTTTCCGTTATGGAATTAAACGATTTTTTTTTTATTTCTTCCAGCTCTTCCTCCACATAATTACTTGCTTTCTTGGGTGGCATGTTTGTTTCGTTTAATCTCATTTGATGTCCAGTTTTAATTCAATTCAACTCTGTTAGCTTATCTCTGACGTACGAGTGCTGCAGCTTGGTGGCCATCTTGGTATTTCATGTAATTGATAATGCTTTGTTGCCTTTATGTAACTTTTTTTAAGACTAAGTGTTCTTTGTTACTACGTACTTACTTACGTATGAGCCACACGGAGTGGCAGCAAGTTACAGCAGCTGTGTCCTCGTGTTCTTTTCCGTGTTTTTATGAAGTTCTGTTCTTATGTTGGTTGTTTTCTATTGCTGCTGTAACACAGAAATTTCCACACTGTGGGATCAATAATTTCACCAGTCAACTTAACATCTGTAATTTAGCTTATTCAATCGGTGTGACTACTCTTTGAGCTTCAATTGCCTGTAGACCCACAACCTTGCTCTACAGCCTTATCATAAACTTATTTATTTAAATCCAATCCAGACACTCATATATTTATAGCTCAATATTTAGCTTCGTCAATCTGGTCTATCATCTCATAACGTTTAACACCCACTCAGCTGTATCTCTCTCATTTTTTTTAAAACAACAACCATAAACAGCACAATCACACGCAGTTACATAATTACACAGTGTTAATAAATCATATACCTTCACACACACACATACACACTCCACGCACATCCAAAGAGTGAGCAGCTCGCACACAGATCATACAGGAAGAAGCGGAACACACACACAAACGGAGCAAGGGGAGGGAGAATTACTCCCCACATACTCAGTTTCACAGAAATATAAAATAAATCTTATACTCACCTCAGCAACACAGTATACAGTCTGAAAACACATGAAATTGACAACAAGAACAACAGGAAATTGCAACGCACAATTCTGTCATCCCTCTGTCCCTAACTCCAGACACATGTCATGGCCAATTACACAACACCAAACAAATATATGTTCACATATTTAAACACACATTAAAGTTCGCACTTATTCATATACAGAAAGCGCTCTGAGTGGGAATCCACAAATAGGACAGACCTCTGCTACACAGCCTCACCATAAAATTTAATCAGAGGCAAACACCTTTATAACTCATAATTTCACGCTGTTCAATCAATTGTCTGACAACTTATACCTTTTTCTCTGTCAATCCTAATAGGCTGTTTCACCATCACATAAACATCAGACATGTAAAAACAACATCAATGTATCCTGTAAACACTTAAAGCAAGTTATTTACATCAGTGTTAGTAATAGTGTTCGTGATCGCAGCAGTCTTCCACCACCTGTCAGAATAAAGCAAGTTATTTGGTTCCCCTTCACACAAAATCTTGGAGCACAGTCAAGATAGGAGATTAAATTTAAAATTCTCCCACCTCCTACCTGCAGAGACAACGCCAAGGTTTGTCGTGGCTAGAATGTGATACAGACTAAATTAGTTCAGACAAATCATCCCAATTTAAGTAATCATTTAATATTACAATTATTCTGAACAGAGTAGTAGTTAAATAGGTAATCTGGTAGTTAGGAAACAGAGAACAGAATCACTCCTCCTGCAATGGAATAGGTACAGTATTAAATAAGAAGATTATCACAGCGCCAGTCAGTCTTGGTCACAGGGTCACCCCGGCCGGCCAGGTCCAAGCTCACTTTCTCAACTGCTGCACCATACTTTTCTTCTTCTCTACACCTTTTTGCCTCACTGTTTTATCCACAGCTTTCTTTAGGCTGTTACGTCAATTTCCAAACTTATCTTCCTGTCTCCAGTTTTAGGAGACAACACCCTGAGATGTACCCAAAAACAGGAAGCATCTTGACCAAATTATATAAGGTCATTGTTCAGCTCATATGAACTCAAAAGTGAACACACAAACACATTATTCTACTACATAATCCATATTAACATGTAACTTAAGCCACTACAGCTTCTTTGCTAAGTTGCAGGTGGGGCTATGTCTGGACCAACTATCAAAACAGAGGGTAGAGAAGCTGGGATAACAACAGAAGGGTTGTAGGCAGCAGCGTGTCATGGAGGCGAGAAGTATAGCTGAGAGACGCCATGTCTTGTCCCCTTTTCACTTTATCAGACGATGTGTAAAATCTTAGTTAATGCACCTTTTATAATTGAGCTGGTCTGTCTTTTCCCTAACAACTTTCTGGAGCACCTGTTCAGTTGTAGGACAACAGTATAGCTGATATACCTTCCTAGGGATAGCAAATTGAGTTCACAGTGATAAAATACTGCAAATTACCATGTTTATTTTGCACCCGTAATATGCTGTGTCAAACACTGTTCATATTTGTCATATCTTTTTCAAAGATTTGGGCCATATTTAACTAGCTAAAATTGGTATTTGATCAAATTCAGATAATGCCAAAAACAGACATTGGAAAAAAACACTAGGTGATTCACATCATTGGGTGCAGATAGATTTCCTGGCTGGTGTAAGTGCCCCATATCACCCGAATCCTGTGACTGGAAAGTATTTCAAAACAGCAGCAATATGCTAACAGAATATTTTAAGCACACGTATGCGGTTTGCTTGTATTTTCTTTAATCCCTATTCTCATTCTCATGCTGTTTTTTTATACATCTTCTGGCAGTTAAAGTCTTGACATTTAAACATCCATCCATATGTTATGTTGTTTCCAGGTTGCAGTGAATGGCATTGACTATCAACCCCAGACACCTAGTCCCAATAAGAAACATGCCAAGGCCATGGCAGCAACAGTTGCCCTGCAGGCTCTGGGAGAGGTAATGTTAAAATAGTAACACAGGGAGTTGGCACACAGTCAACATAGAGGGAAAATAACAAGATTCTATTTGACTTTATTTTACCTGTCAGGTTCATAAGAGCAAGCACTAAAATACTGATACAGACCTCTTTAATGTTTGCTGACTTTATTTTGTTCTAAATTTAAATTAGATACAGCTGCCATTTATGGCCTTCTACTTGTATTAACCCATAACTAAATAAAAACTTTTTTATAAAACTTCCTGTCTCTCTAACTTTAAAGGTATAGTCAGGATTCTAGCAAAAGAATGTTTACATTTTAATCTTGTAATCACCTCACTCATGATTTAAGAATGTGCCTTAGCACAGCAACTGTACCAGGGCACAACATGTGGCTAACCAGCTACAGATTACACTGTCACTCTCTCACAACAGTCTCCAGCTGCTGTGGCAGAATTCAAAACAACTGTACACATTTGCAAACTAGCAGATTAGCTAGTTGCTTTAGGTAATGCCCAATTTGCTAACATAACATTACCACATACAGTGCTGTGAAAAAGTATTTGCTCTCTTCCTGGTTTCTTTTTTTTTTTTGCATATTTGTCACACTTAAATGTTTCAGATCATCAGACAAATTTTTACATTAGACAAAGATAACTCAAGTAAACAAAATGCTGTTTTTAAGTGATGATAAGGGAAAAAAGCTATCCAAACCTACATGGCCCTATGTGAAAAAGTAATTGCCCCCTAAACCTAATAACTGGTTGTGAAATCTCAGCAGCAACAACTACAATCAAGCATTTGTGGCAATGAATCGTTCACATCGCTGTGGAGGAATTTTGGCCCTCTCTTCTTTGCAGAATTGTTTTATTTCAGCCACGTTGGATGGCTTGAGCTTGAACTTTCTTTTTAAAGTCACGCTAAAGCATCTCAATCAGATTCAAGTCTGGACTTTGACTAGTCCACTCCAAAACCTTCATTTTGTTTTTTTAAGCCATTCAGAGGTGGACTTGCTGGTATTTTTTGGGATAATTGTCCTGCTGCAGAACCCAAGTGCACTTCAGCTTCAGCTAGAGGGCAGAATTTATGGTTCCATCAATCAAAGGTCCTGAAGCAGCAAAGCAGCCCCAGACCATCACACTACCATCACCATATTTGACTTTTGGTGTGATGTTCTTTTTCTGAAATGCTGTTACTTTTACGCCAGACGTAATGGGATGCACACCTTCCAAACAATTCAGCTTTTGTCTTGTCAGTCCACAGAATATTTTCTCAAAAGGCTTGGGGTTCATCAAAATGTTTTTTGGCAAAAGTGAGATGAGCCTTTATGTTCTTTTTGGTCAGCAGTGGTTTTTGCCTTGGAACTCTGCCATGGATGCCATTTTTGCCTAGCCTCTTTCTTATGGTTGAGTCATGAACACTGACCTTAACTGAGGCAAGTGAGGCCTGCAGTTCTTTAGATGTTGTGGGTTCTTTTAGGTAGGTAGGTACTTTATTGATCCCTCAATGGGGAAATATCAGTGTTTCAGCAGCAATGGAGAACAAACAACATACCACCATGAGAAACAAACACCACACACATGGATTTGAGTATTGCACCTCAGTTGACTGTTACATAGTTCCTCATACTTTCACCTAGCTTATCCCTGCAGTGATGTATTGTACAGTCTGGTTGCTGTGAGGAGGAACGACCTACGGTAACACTCCTTACACTGGGGATGTAACAGTCTTGCGCTAAAAGAACTGTTCAGAACCTCTACTGTGTGGTGCAGGGGATGGGAGGGGGTGTGCATGATGGATGTTAGTTTTACCAGCATCCTTCTGTCCGCCACCTCCTCGATGGAATCCAGGGGGCAGCCCAGGACAGACCCAGCTCTCTTGACCAGCTTGTTTAGTCTCTTTCTGTCCCTGTCCATGCTACCTCCCGCCCAGCCCACAACAGCGTAAAAAACAGCAGATGCCACTACAGTATCATAAAAAGTCTGAAGGAGTGCCCCCCGCACACCAAAGGACCTGTCTCCTCAACAAGTGGAGGCGGCTCTGGCCCTTCTTGTACAGGGCATCGGTGTTTTCAGTCCAATCCATTTTGTTGTTGAGGTGGATCCCCAGGTATTTAAAGGTGTCCACAGTCTCAATGTCTGTGCCCTGGAAGCTCACCGGAGTGAGTGCTGGTGATTTCCGCCGGGGATCAATCACCATCTCTTTAGTCTTACTGTTGTTAAGGACCAGACGAATTACCACTTCACAAAGTCAGTAACAACCCCCCTGTATTCCTGCTCATCCCCCCGATACACATCCAACAATACGGTGTCATCAGAGAACTTTTGTAGGTGACACTGGTGGGAGTTGTACTTGAAATCCGATGTGTAGAGGGTGAACAGAAAGGGGGAAAGCACCATCCCCTGGGGCGCCCCCATGCTGCAGACCACCACGTCCAACACAGTCACGCAGCCTGACAAAGTGAGGTCTGTTTGTGAGGTAGTTAATGGTCCATGTGGACAGGTGTTGGTCCACACCTGCCTCCTCCAACTTCCCCCTCAGCAGTGATGGCTGGATTGTGTTGAAAGCACTGGAAAAGTCAAAGAACATGACTCTCACCATGCTTCCGGGGAACTCCAGATGAGATAGGGCTCGATGCAGCATGTAGATAATGGCGTCATCGACCCTGATGCCAGGACAGTATGCAAACTGCAGCGGGTCGAGCACTGAGCTCACCTGTGCACGGAGGTGGCCAAGGACAATCCTTTCCATGGTTTTCATCAGGTGGGAGGTCAGGACAATGGGTCTGTAATGTTTCAGCTCCTTGTGACCTCTTGGATGAGTCGTTGCTGCACTCTTGGGGTAATTTTGGTAGGCCGGTGACTCCTGGGAAGGTTCACCACTGTTCCATATTTTCTCCATTTGTGGATAATGGCTCTCACCGTGGTTCGCTGGTGTCCTAAAGTTTTACTCTGGATTTGCATTGCCGTGTAAAGTACTTTGGTCGACCAGATGTTTTTAAAGTGCTATACAAATAAATTTTGATTGATTGATTGATTTAGAAATGGCTTTGTAACCCTTTCCAGACTGGTAATAACAGTTACTTTGTTTCTCATGTGTTCCGGAATTTCCTTGGATCGCGGCGTGATGTCTTGCTTTTTGAGATCTTTTGGCCTACTTCACTTTGTCAGTTCTATTTAAGTGATTTCTTGATTCAACAAGTCTGGCAGTAATCAGGCCAGGGTGTGGCTAGTGAAATTGAACTCAGCTTTATAAAAATGTGATTAAGCACAGTAAATTCATGATTTAACGAGGGGGGACAATTACTTTTTCACATAGGGCCATGTAGGTTCAGATAGCTTTTTTCCCTTAATGAATAAAATCATCACTTAAAAACTGCATTTTGTGTTTACTTGGGTTATCTTTGTTTAATATTTAAATTTGTATGATGATCTGAAACATTTAAATGGAAGTGCTGGTACTTTTTCAGCCACCCCCCGCCCACTTTGCCATGCACGTGCAAGAACACTCCTTGAGCTGATTGGCTGAAATTAGTCAGCCCAACTCCGATCTTTATTTGCTCTTTTACAGAGCACAACAAACAGCCACATGGGGTTTATGGAGGGCACAAACTGAAAGGCCAGGCAGAGAAATGTGAGGAAAATTTATCTGAAAATGAGTAATGAACTGGAATCGCTGACTCTACCTTTAACAGTTCAATGCTTTTTATGGCCAGTCATAAAATATAAGCCTGTTTTTCTGAGCCAAATTCTGAGCCTCTGACCTGTTTTATTTTGTTCCTAGGTTCCTGTTGATGGACCAGGACTCTACACAGGCCCTGTCTTCACTGCTGCTTCAACTGGACCCTTGTTCTCTACATAGACATGCAGTACACACGAGTGGGACTGAAAGATCTTACACAATACAGTTGTTTGGCTGTACTCTCACTTCAGTTGTGGGACATAACAAAGGGGTTTTTGTCTCTACACCAGTGATTTATTTGTATTTTAAGAAATGAAAAGGTACATTAAGCACACGATAGTGAGAACCATGAAGACCAGTCCAGCTTCAGATGGCACCAAGATCTTTGATACAAAACTATTGGTGACTTATTTCACACTCTTGTTTTTAAGTCACTATGTTCACGACAGGGTGGCAAATATGTCTATGCCAGATTGTTAGGATGGGAAAAGAGTCAATTTCATATTAAAAAGCATGTATGTATGATTTATGTATGATATTGTAGCATTTTAGTCTGATAGGTATTATACTGTAGTCTCACCCTTGACCAGACATGTTTCTCTGATTTGTCACAGCAAAGCAGACATATGTTAGGCAATTAAATGAAAAGTTATATCTTTAAATGACTTTTGAATGAAATGAATGCTTTGTTGTTTAGCAAGCTTTCTGTTGGTTTTGATGTTACATTTGTGGTTTAGCTTCTAACAAAATGTTTCTCATTAAGAGGCTGTTAAACTTTGTGAAACTGGCATTCTAAAATGTGCAAACACAAAATAAAGATTCTATTTATCTTATGTAATAGAGAAATCAACATGTTTCTTGTTAACAATTCCTATTATCCACCATGTTTGTAAGACTGGGGAGGGTGCTGATAACTATTTCTGCCTTCCAGTGCACAGGTGATTCATCAATGAAGAGGGGAAAATGTGAAGGTTAAATGCTCATTAGAGCTGGAATATTGATCATTTTACATGAATAATGAATGAAAAAGGCTGCCATGTTGTTTAAGGTCAGGTAACATTTTTCTCTTAGGTGTAGTTGTCATGGTTTGGGATGAAATGCTCTGATCTGACAGGCCACAGTGTGGCTTCCCTCTTGTTTCCAGTGTGGTATTTTATTAGTGAACTTAAGTGCCTGTATGGTAATAAAATGTTCATCTGCAACTACTTGTTCCTGAATTGTTAGTAGACCCAGACACCTTAAAGGTTGTAGCATGTGGCCAAAACATATCCCAGATTTTCTCCTAGTACTCTAGTGTGTGTGATACAACATAAAAAGAGGCAATGTGAACTGTTGGTGGTATAAATTCAAATTTTATTTCTATAGTGCCAAATCACAACAAAAGTCATCTCAGGACAATTTGCAAAGTAAGGTAACCTTACTATTATCACTATTATTATCAAATTGTGTTTATTGTCATATGTACAGTAAGGAGACATTTTACCCTACACAATGAAATTCTTCCTTTGTTGTCCACAATGAATGCCAAACAATATAAAGTCTAAATATAAAATAGATAATACAAAATAAAGGCAATTTTAGCATGTGAAAAATATAATACATCAGCTGTGCGTGCAACAGTCAGCAATGAGGGTGCAATTATACATATATGCAAACTGAAAACATAAACAGTCAGGTGCAGTTACATGACGTAATCTCTGATTATAAACTCCTGTCAGCTGTTTAGGAGTCTGATGGCAGTGGGACGAAAGAGTTTTTCAGTCTAGAAGTCCTGCATTTCACACTTCTATACCTCTGGCCTGAGGGTAGAGGTGTGAACAGTGCTGGGGGTGGGTGGGGTCCTTGAGAATGGAGGCCCCTCTCCTGCGTACTCTGCAGTGGTACATGTTCTGCGGAGAAGGAAGTGGAGTCCTGGTGATCTTTGCAGTCTTTACCACTCTGCAGGCGTTTGCGGTCCATAACAGTAGTGCTGCCATACCAGATGGTGATGCAGCTTGTCAAGATGCTCTCAACAGTGCAGCTGTAGAAGTTGGTGAGGATCCTAGGTGACATGCCAAACCTCAGCCTCCCCAGAAAGTACAGCCGCTGTTAGGCCTTCTTGACCAGCTGTGTGGTGTTATGTCCAAGTGAGGTCGTCACTGACGTGGATGCCCAGATATTTAAAGCTGCTCACCCTCTCCACTTCAAGCTCCCAGATGACATAGAGGAAAACCTAAACCAATCCCCCTTGAGCAAGCACTTGGCGACAGCGGGGAGGAAAAACTCCCTTTAATGGAAGAAACCAACAGATCACTGCTCTTGGTGGGCAGCCTTCTGCCTTGATCGGTTGGGGTGAGTGGATAGAGGAGAGAGAAAAAAAAGAAAAGCAACCAACAAACAACAATCAATCAGACACTGGGCATGTTGATGTGACCGGTGACTGCTCATCAGAAACGTAGAGCTCCAGAGCCAGGGCTACCTGCAGACAGGTACATGGAGAGAGAGTTGAGTGACACATAATGATGGCATGTAGATGCATGGAGAGAGAGGAGAGGAAAGGAGAGGGGAATAGAGGAGAGGGGAGTCCGAACTGTGACTGGGAGCTGGTTTCACAGGAGAGGAGCTTGACAGCTAAAGGCTCTGCCTCCCATTCTATTTTTGTGGACTCTAGGAACCACAAATAGACCTGCACTCTGAGAGCAAAGTGCTCTGTTGGGATGATAAGGCACTATGAGGTCTTTAAGATACGATGGATTCTTGTCATTAAGGGCTTTGTATGTTAGTAAACGGATTTTAAATTAAATTCTATTCTGGATTTTACAGGGAGCCAGTGGAGAGAAGCTAATATAGGAGAGTGTTAAAAGAATTTCCAAAGAAGCCACGAAGTCACTGAAATCTTTCAATAGAGATTAGTTTACTTGCAGCAAGGAGACAAGTCAGCATGAGCATACAGAGTTGTCTGAATGAGCTAGTCTAAACATCACAATATATAGGACAAAGGGAACTCACTAAAGACGCATTACAGGTGTTAACCAGGTTGTAAAAAAGATTTGCAGAGGAAAAGTGAACTTGAAAGGTTTTTGCCCTGATGACCCCTAAGACACTGCACAATCTGTTTGTTTATCTCCACAGTGTATGGCCGGAACGGTTTATGGCTGGCTCCTTTAAGTCTGGGGTGCCATCTGGTTGAACATATAACAACACACAAAGTATTAAAACAGAGGTAGAACATGTCCTTCAGTTCACACAAGCAGTGTCTCACAGGTCCCTGTGATCTGTAGTCTGTTCTGAAAGGTTAAAATCCATTGAATAAACATATGTTGGTTAATATATTGATAAGAACACAGTTTAAAACATACTTAATAATGTAATTTTCATGACATTTCCCTCCTGCTTAAACTTTTTAGAATCACTTTATTAACAACATAATTTTTGATCATCTTCCTCCCAGGATCTTCATTGTTTAAACTCTCCCTTTCAGGTTTTCATTAAAACAAGTCATACGTGGTTCACTCAGATTAGAATTAGGTAAGTCTCTTTTCAAACCCAATCGTCCGGTTTGTAGTGGTCCTCTTCTCCTTTTTCCTTGTCTCGGATCTGTTGATATATAGTCTTAGTTAGAGCAGTGTCTATCAGTCCCACCATCAGTCCTCGCAGGCAGGGAATGCAGCAGCAGCCACACACGACCAGCAGGGCTGCAGCTACGGGCAGAGAGATCAACCCAGAAGCGATCAGACCACTCCACTTTCCGAAACAGGATTCCAGGAGATTGGCAAAGGGGTTGGTGATGCCAGAGTTCACAGCCAGCTCCTCGGATAGGGCTGTCAGTCCTTCAAGGGCCTTGGTGATGCTGCCATCTGGGGAAGTGTTGTTAGGTATAAAAGTACAACAAAACGTGCCAAACATTTTGCATACTCCTCCTTTCTTAGCTAACAACATATCTAGGGCCATCCTGTTTTGCCATGACATGAGAGAAGTTGGGCCCAGTTGTTCTGCTATGCCTCTAATTGCATCTCTGGTATGATTCACAAAACGTTGATTATAGTATAAGTAGTTAATCCAATCCACATTCTTATTTACTGTCACCCACCAGGAAAGAAAAGATTCGAACCCTGCAGCTATTTGATTTCTAGCTTTAAATTCATCAGGTACTCCTTGGGGTACACCAATTGCATCTAAGTACACTCTGTTGTTGAACGATCCTCTGGGCTCGCCTGTAGATCTGGTTTCACGATGTAGGTGGGATGCAGATAACAGCTTCTCCCCCAGCTCCCTGTATTCTCTCAAGGAGAATATGTGAAAAGGCATCAGCAGCTGTACCAGGGCACAGAAACCGCACCACAGTGAGGGGAGTCTGGGTCTCAACTGGCCATCTCCGCAGAGCCACCATATGTCTGCCCTCGAAACAGTTTGGTTCACAAACCAGGTGGCAGAATAGTCACCACTGTCAGCGGTGATGTCGAAGGTCTCCATACACCAGGCAGGCAGCAGGCGATGGACATTCTTGCCGGTACCAAAGCGCACAAAACATGTGTAATTACCAGGATAAATGTTCACAGAGGGAGGGACGTCTCCTTTGTTTACTGGTGGATACAGCAAAGAAAGAGATTTACATTGTTCAGTGGTTGGAGAAAAAGCCTTATCAAG